ATATTCAGCTTATTATGTCAAAAAAATAAATTTTCATCGAAAGTTCTGAATTTATAAAATAATAATACTACCTACCTTCGATCAACAATAACAACTAGATATCGGGTCGGCGCAAGAAAATGGTCTCGACAAATAAGAGCTCACTTGAGAAGTGAGCTCTTATTTTGTTTAGTATGCTCCAAACACGGCCAACGTACTCACGTCTCACGATGCCGCAGTGCATAATTGCAAGTTGCAAAAATAATAACCGAAAAAGCAGTATAACGGCCGGAGTATCTTACTTTTGATAAGTACATAAAATATAAGTTATATTTTAAGCTTTTAAACTAGTAAATAATATCAAATTAGACAAAATTACCAATTATAAACCAACGCCACCAATGTTTGTGCGTGTGTTGGCGATTCCTTGACCAAGGCTCGCCAACACGCGCACAAACATTTGTTTAAACAGAACAGTGGACGCATGGAGTCGATTTGTATTGTAAAATAAAATTGTATTGTAACCTGATTGGAAAAGAGTATCTAACCTATGGAGTTTCTTGCTCGTTCTTCTCCATAGGAATCTACACCTTGGAATGAGCAAATAGCTTCACTATTAAATTTATATTGTTGACGTTCAAAAGTGCCTTCCTGGTCTAACTGAAATAAATGATTTTGACTTAGACTTAGACTTTTAATGATAAAGTAAATAAACATATCATACACAAAAACGTACCGCTAATAAAAATAAGTGATGTATACTAAGATCCCGAAATCTTAATTATCATATTATAAAATTATTTTAGTGTCCAACGCGACTCCATACATACCTCTTGTAGCAAAATTCGAAATTTGAAGAAGCAAAACGAAACATAACAAAACGATATAGATCGCAAGACAATAATGGAAAAAATATCTTTATTTGTACAAACTTAAGATTGAATTCAAACTAGATATTGTATAACTTATGTCTTTTTATTTCTACATGACAGGAGTTAGAAAATACTTTTCTCGTCTTATGTGACGAATGGTCGTAAGTATTAGATGATATTTTGACGATTTATGACTATATTATAAGGTGCCATGGTTGTTATTAGGTTGAACTTAAAACTATTTTAAAACATTTTTCTCTGTTTGTTATTTTTTTACTATTATTATTCACACGGACAGAACTGGAGCTTGATTTTGTACGTAACCCTTTATCTAGTTGCTATTGTTGATCGAAGCTACCTACGTAGAAAACTTAACAAAAAGTCTAGTAACAATAGAGCGTCGACGGCTGCGACTTACAATAGGTCTTTCCGTACCTAAATACGAAACGAGCGGGAAAATTACCCAAATCTCATTTCTCTCATTAAATAATTAGTTTTCAGTTAAATAGTTTGTGCACAGTTTAGATAGGTACTCTGGAGTTACGCCACAGTAATAAGTTAGAGCTAAAGAACTGTAGTTCCCGGCCATGCATTAGAAATTAAAGCGAAAGCGCTAACTGTATTTTTCAATTACGGCCACGTCGAAGAGTTAAAAATTACTATAGTTGGTCGACGTTCTCATACGTATACCTATTTCAGGTATTCGATTATATCAGGTATGCGTCACTGACTGATTTATTGATTAGTAGTCTAATAATTTATTGCATGTTTCGATCATTTAACTAGTGCCGTGTAAATAATATGGGGCCCCCGGACTACGGGGGTCCCCAAAACGTACGTAAGCAAGAATTAATAAAAACTTCTTCTTTTTAGATTTTATTTTACTAATCAGAAAAGTCAAATTAAACATTTTTGCCGCGTAAAGCATACATTCACAGTGTGGCAGAAACTTAAGAAAAACTAAAGTTATTATAATCCTATAATAATTTGGGCAGAGGGAGATACCTGCGAAGTTTTAGTAGTAGAATTGCATGCAAAAAATATGTTCTTATAAGAAATCTTTACCCTTCATTATTTTGTTTGTTAAAAATTTGTTTGGGGACCCCCAAAGAAATTTTTATACGGTGGAGCCCCGTATAATAATTTTACTTGTTCAAAAATTTACCAAGGCACGCTACGCCACTGTTTATTAGGAACCTGTGTACCTACTGTAATAGTTTTAATTTCCTTTTTTGCTATGTGACATTCCTCTACTTAAAATAATAGACTTATCGAAAAGCATTCCATGAAAACATAAAGAAAGGTTACGTTCAAACATTTCTGCACAAGCAAGTACAATTGGTTCAGCAAAGAACTGCTGTTAATACGTAGCACCTCGACTGGAATGGTAATACACTGAAACAACGCAATCGTGAGTAGGTACCACTTGCCGGTAGCAGTACAACGCAATAATCGTACTTATGCAAACAGTCGCACTAGGAGCGCGTCCCGGGCTCTCTCGTGTCACCTCCACCAGGAGTCCCCATCGGATAAATAATTCTACTCGCGCTTATCCACTTCAACTAGTACTAAATTACGTTAGTAGTGGGTGTCTCACCGCTCGCCCCTCGGTGCAACGTACGATACGACACAGCGACCTGAGCACTTTTTGCTAAGTCGAGTCAGTTAGTTGACCTATCTGCAAAATAGTATTAAAGTGCACTCAGAATGTATGTGAATATGCTGAAAGCTAACAGCGTCTGTTCTCTATTATTTTGTTGAACAACAGCGAGTTTTTCGTTCGTGAATTATTTAGTTGTTCTGTATTATCGTAATTGAAAAAAATGTTTTTATTAAACCACTCTATTGAGAGTGGTTAAATTTTAAAAATTATTGAATTTACAGTATCTAACTCTATTAGTCAATGAATTTATATTTTTGTTTTTTTTTGTTTTTAGCGACGTTGCCCCACCCTAGTATTTTCTCTTGTGTCGTGGGTAAGTACGTTTATAAACATACAACACACACACATGATACCCAGAACCAAAACAATAATTTGTGGATCACAATAACAAAGAATTGTTCCGTGCGGGAATCGTACCCGCTACACGTTGCGCGGCAACTAGTTGCCCAGCCGCCGCGCTAACCAAATTATTATTACTAACTGACACGTGAAGTCACGTGAAGTCTTAGAATAAAGATAATCGAATTTGATATAAAATAAGATAATTTAATAAACCGTATTGTTTTCACCGTCATCTTAGAAATAGAATATATTTCATCAGCAAAGTTTTCATATGTAGGTACCGTATCTGTTATATATCCACAATAAACCTTAGACAAGTACCCACCCGATGCTCCCGATCGCAGAATTCTTGAAAATATTTGTACCTGCCCGCCGAACCGAGGTATTTCAATAAAGCCAAGATGATTTTAGTCATTTATCTCATTGCGGCGGTGGTTAAAGGAGATATATGTTACTAAACCCGATTACCCCCTTGGAGCTTCCCTTGTGTTCAAAGTGAATGTATTGGAGCGGAATGTTCCACGTCAGAGGTAAAAGCAAGTATTCATGTTTAATTTCATCCTGTATGAGAGCACGTAAAAAATCTTTTATCTGGACCCGAATTCCTAACAAAGAATTGTTTCATGAGTATCTTCGTTGATCTTCTCATGGAGCTGTGTGTTTTGGTATAGGTAGGTTGGATACTTATGAAATGCGTTTGTATGTTATGGATTATGGGTGAAAATATGGATATATTCATATTTTTAATAATCTTATCCTTTCAGTTCTGTAGGACATTTCATGAATATAATTATAATTGATCATTAATGACAAATATGCAAATTTCTAATTATTAAAAAAAATAATATGTGTTACATTTTATTTAAGAAATCATCAGTCAACGTGTGCACTTACTGCACGGTAGGTACTGTGGCTGAGTTTCTGGCTGTTGCACAACGTGTTAGGGGGTCGATGACTCTTTTTGTAGTGATTCCCGTTCTGGGTATGATGTGTTCTGAATTTGTATGTTTATGAAAACTACATTTTTGAAAGAAAACAAAAAGAAATAGTTGTACCTAGTGCCTTGGGGACCGAATAGAAACCGAATAGAGAGCTAGATTTGAACGTAATATTATTGTAAGTGTTGACCGGTAGGTACGTATTAAACGTTTAATGTCATTGTAGGTCCTCAAATACTACCCCGGTAATCGTACCTGTTCTATTGAATGAATTGTAATAAATATATTTTTAATAAACGAAGAATGTTCACACTATACGAATAAAATGTAACAAAACGATTGTTCATTAATACAAAACTTCACAATCACACGATTGTATTGCGAAACAAACGAACTATTGTAATCCCGTATGTGCGTGCCACACTGTAGGGAATTAACAACTTAGATTGGTACACTGCCGCTAATAAGACCAACTCTTTTATCCCGCTACCTTTTCAACTGTTTAAAAAGCTTTACACGCCACGATTGCAGACGACGGCGACGTCATTCGTGTTCATGAATTGCAATTCACACTTTTTAATACTCATACAAGAAAAAACGATGAATATCCTTCTCGATGTAAATAGGTAAATTAAATAATTATCGTGTGTTACAATATCCGCAGAGTAGTTAGCAGTAGGTAGGTATATATGAAGAGATGTGGATTATACTTTATAGGGTACTTACAAAAATGAAACCAGTTTCCCGTTGTCACGCCATACTTAACTTGAGAATGGCTGGACCGATATAGCAGATTTTTTTTGTTGGGTTTGTTATTGTCAGGAGAAGGTTTTTATGATAGCCAAAAAATCCTGAAAATCTTATGGGAACGGGATTGCGCGTACGAAGTCGCGGGCAGAAGCTAGTACTTATACTTATACGAAACTAAGCACGATGTGTAGCAGATTATTTAATTACAGGGCTCAACAACAATATACGTAGATAAAAGTATAAAAATAAAGTTAAGTGTTATGAAAATTTCTGTAAAAAGTAGTAAAAACTTCTGCGAAAATTAATTTACACCACCACCAAAATGTAAATACAGCAAAAATATTTAAAATTTCCCGCCACTAACCAATAGACTTTCGACCATAAACTAAACTAACCTAAAAATTAACCACACTCAAGAAACACAACACAATGTCATTCACGTCAACGTCAATGTTATCAAATGAGAAAAAGTCAACTGTCAAACTGAATTGTAGATTATCACCGACTAAAAATTAGTGGAACTGAAAAATACAAGCAAGTGTATTATAACAGAAACTGAAACATTACTCAATTAAAATGCATTTTCAATCACTTGCTGTTATTCTATCACTTGGTTTAGTTAATTATGCGGTAGTTATTGTGCACTTAAGTGTATTTCGTTTACAACATGATAAAAAATTTTTACATTAATAATTTCCTCTTTCAGGCTTGCATTGATTACGATGGATGGCTGAATATTAAAATAGAACATTCCCTAAACTGTGGCACTGAAAAATATTGCCCTAGGGGAAACATAGCACTAAAAAGTATTCGAGCTGGTGCTGCAGTAGTAGATCAAATACATTTCAATAAAGGACATATTCAAGCGTTAAAGGTATTTATCACTGTATATAAACAATAATAGTGCAATGTATTAATTAAACTGTCAAACACCAAGCGGTCACCGGTGACCGGTTCTATAATTGTGTCTCTAATGACGGTACTCGACGAGTTAAACCTTATTGTGTTCTATTTGTACTACATAATTTACAAATTTATACTCAAAATGTCTATGAATAATCAAGCATACCTATTTATTTCTTTATCACTATAATACTATGTAGTACATCATCATCTATGTACTTGTCTATAGAACAGCTAATTCAGGTAGAAGCATGTGCTATAACAAAATATTGTAACATTTCAGAACTTAGCAGAAATTGATAGTTTTTACACCATCAGGACTCTGGTGACATCTGCTGAAAATAGTAAAGGAACAGAATTCTTTTCATCAGTCAAAGCCAAAGCTTTCTTGGGCAATGGTCTGTCAGATGTGATAAATGCTTGGGTACTGCCCAATGGGGCTGTGATTGCTGTCAGTTTCCAAGTAACCAATGCTTCACAACCATTGTCTTTGGAAAGCGGAACTCAAAAGATTAACTCTAATTTCTATCTTCGCTATGTTGAACAGGCCCCAGTGTAAGTACAAATATTCCTTCCCTATACAATACAGCATAAAGCTTGTAGAACACATAAACAATACAGTTTTTTAAAAGCTGATGTAATTATCTATCATGAAAAGCTAATTAGATTTTTTTCTTTCCAACCAGTAACTTTATAATGCTTTTACACACTGACAAATTGGAACTTCTATAACATAAATAAATCTGTTACAGACCTGACACAGCAACATACATTCAGAAACTGGAACGTGAAAGAGAAGCAAGGGAAAAAGGAGACCTAAAGGACAACAAGTCCTTCTTAGCCAAATATGTAAGTTATTGAGACATACATTACTAACTTAAGTTTTTCATCATAAAAATACCTTGTTAGTCTGGTCGAGATAATTGTAGTTTATTCTTGTCAGAGTAAGTGAAGATTGGAATTTTTCTTTTTGAAAATCCTGTGTTGTACTAGATGCTTCTACAGCTCATTTCACTTAATTCATAGGACAAATATTTGCATGATTTTTATACATATGCCCCATGTTACTATAATAATTCATTTTGTTTGTTTCAGTGGATGTACATTGTACCGATCGCAATATTTGTAATGATATCTGGAGCAAGCAACCCTGAACCAGCTGCCCAAGGAGCTCGATAAATTAGTGTTACTAATTCATAACATTATATACCAAATAGTCAATATATATCATATTATTTATTTTATAGATACTCCACACGAACATATTGATCAGAAAATATTTTGCAGTGTAAAATATGATTAGATGCTGTTATATTACAAACAACTGTATAAAAAATATTGTCTTATTTTATATGTATACTGTATTTCACTGTACTTATAAAAATGGATCATAATTGTCCTGTTTCCCTTATTGCTCTGTGTGTACTGTGTACCGTGTCAAGGATCATGTTCCACCAACATAATATAATTAACAAATTTGTGATAAGGTGTGGGTTATGAAGTTATCTTTAAGAAATAAATTATTCACAACATAAACCGAGTACTTATTTATATGCAAGGTAATTGAGAACACACATTACAAAATTAGTATTTTAATCAATTACCAAATATAATCTTGTTACTGTAACAATGTAGGACTTAACTTAATATCAAGCAAAATTTAACAGTGATAACAATCCTTATGCACCAATTTTCTCAATTTCTTCTGCATCTTCAATATCCAACAGCTGTATCTTTTTACCGAAATGACCTTCTATTTCCTTACAAATATTCATTGCTTGTGAAGAATCAATTAAATTAATTGCAATACCAGCTTTACCAAAACGTCCTGTGCGACCTATTCTGTGCAAATATGTTTCACAATCAGCTTTCTTGTCCATGTCCATAGGCATATCAAAGTTAACAACCAGTGTCACTTGTTCAACATCTATTCCTCTAGACAATACATTTGTGGTGATCAATACTTTTTCCAAACCAGCTCTGAAACGGTCCAGTACAGCTATTCTTTGTTCAACAGTCAATTCACCTGAAAGTACAGCTACAGAATGTCCATCCTCAGACATTTTGACAGATAACCAGCTGGCTGTTTTCCTTGTGTGGCAGAATATAATAGCTTGGCCAATTGTTATCACACCATAAATATTACAAATGGCTCTGTACTTTTCATCTGCATTCTTGCATTTAACATAGTACTGCTTGATATTATCCAAGGACTCCTCTTCGCGTAACAGTCTTATAATAATAGCATTGGGAACAATCATTTCAGCAAACTCCATGACAGCAGAACCATAGGTTGCAGAAAAGAACATCATCTGACAAGTTGACGGCAAACATTTGTGAATACGAATGCATTGGTCTTGGTGACCTTGTCTGTCAATCATCACATCAGCTTCATCCAGAACAAATACTCGAATTTTAGTCATATCAAACATGCCAAACTTCACACCCCAATCAAGCATTTTCCCAGGTGTTCCAATAATAATATGGTCAGTTATTTTAGTTCCTCGAGGCACCTCCTCACCTCTTACAGCATACTTCAGTTTGATCTCAGGACAGAACTTAGCCATTTTTGCAGCCACTTCTCCAGTCTGTATAGCTAGTTCATAAGTTGGACTCAAACACAACACTTGAGGATAATTTTTAGTGGGATCTACTCTGCTTAACATAGCCAGCACAAAAGCTGCGGTTTTACCAGTACCAGACTGAGATTGAGCAATCATGTTTTGTGGAGGGTCAGCTAAAAGGGTAGGCAAAGCAGTTTCCTGGATCTTTGAGGGAGCATTAAAACCCATTGCATATACTCCTTTCAGTAAATTGGGCTTCAAGTGTAAAGCTTCAAAGGTTTTGACAGAATACAGTGGAGAGTTGGGATCTTTTCTTTGAATTTCAATATCCAATTTAGACTCAACTAGACCTTGCCTTATTATTTTCATCAACAGAGATGTATCTGCTGGATTTGCTGTGTCGGGGGAGTCATCAGAATCTGCAGACTCATTCAGAGGTTTTTTATTTAAACCTAATCCAGCTACTTTATTTGATATCTCCAAGTCTTCTACTTTTTGTCCCCACTGATTAGCCATCTTGTTGTCTACAATAATACAAGACAAATTAATAAAAAAAATCACGTTGAAACATGTCTGCAATAATAAAGTACCTATTTTAATAGGAAAGTATTATGACTATCTTCTATTATGAACAGTATTGTAACTTGCAATATGAACTATTTTAGAGTTTTATTCCGTCAAGACAGTAATTACTTTCAGAAATCAGTAGAAATAGCGCTCGTGTTGACGTTCAAGTCACGTAAACTAAGTTATCCAGTAAAAATGCCTTTGTTTGACTTTGTTAACGAAACATGTTCACTGAGTTAGGTATAATAAACCGCTGCGGGCTACACTGAGATTAGATACACTAGGCATTATTCTTACCTTTTGATAGATATAGTGATATGAAAGTAATAATTATTTCCAAACGCCCATTGAAATCTCAAGCAACCGACCAATACGAACCACACTTTTCTTTACCGAAAAGAAGTGGCGCCGAATTAATACGTCATGTGTCACTGAGTCACTGTCAATGTCATTCGCCATTACTACAGATGCTACAGACAGCCAAATCTTTGGGTAGATTTATAGTGGTCAGTCATCATCATCAGCCAGAAGACGTCCACTGCTGGACAAAAGCTTCCTCCTTACATGGTCACTGGTCAGTAGCAGACTCCAAAATGGAAACGAATCAGTGCTGACCCAAAAAAATAATGTTAATTGATTTGAAATCAGTGCAGCAGCATGAAGTCAGCGCTGACTTGAAAATTCCCGGTCGAATATTTAAGTCAGCGCTTACCTGTTCCTTGTATAAATCTGCCAATACAGTCATGTGTTGTCTATATTTCACTAAGTTATGTAGAGAGAATTTAGTATAACAATATGGTCCAGAAGATGAAGCTGGTATCCATGGGTAGCGCTGATCCTTTACAATCAGGTGATCGATTTACTCGTTTGCCGACTATTCCATAAAAAACAGCTAAAATACATTTTTTTAACAGAAGATGGTACATCTCTATTATGCACTTCAATGAAACTGTCACTATCAAATTTCAATTTGACATTGACAGCTAGCAATGTCACTAATGTCAGTATTGTGGATTGATGGATTGTGATTGTGAGTTAACCTAAAAACTTTCGATTCAGGTTGGAAAATAAGTAAAAATAAATTAAATTTGAATCGAAATATATTTAACCGTGCCCTAATATGTTACGTAATTACCGAAAACTTCTTTTCAAGAACAATGTGTGTCCATTTATCATACATAAAAAGAACTTTTTGTCCAAAGAATACAAATGTACAGAAGCTTGGAATAACATGAACTCGTCGCCTGTATTTAGTAAGATCAATATTCATGATTTCTACAATGTGCTGGACCTAAACTATTCTTCAAAGGGCGTCTTAAGCGCCATAGATGTTGATATATTTGCCAACGCAATCAAAGATCAGGGACATCTAGAAGAGCTTAAGGATCTACTGCATAAACTAAGAACCACTGCAGAAACCGGCAATATGTTGGAATCAACACAACAAGCTACGGTACGGAATTTCATGGAGTTTGGTGATGTAAAGGAGCTGGTAGAAATATTAAAAGATCCTCTAAACTTTGGTGTTTTTCTAGATGACTATACTGCAAATATGCTACTAGATAAATTGTTAACATTGAATAACTTCGAACTTGCTGCTAGAGTTGCTTCTTTAGTAATGCTGCAAGAGGAGTTCAGTCATGAATTAACATGTGCTTTGTGCCAATATGCGTGCTACAAATATATCACCACTTACACACCAACACCATCAGAACCTGCCCCACCTGAAGAGAAAAACAAGAAAGTTGAAGAAATAAAAATTAGAGTCAAGTTTGTTCGAAATCCATTCTATGATGATCACTTTGACATAAAAGATACCCTATTACTGTCTGGCAAAACATTAGCATGGATTTCAGAAAGAGCAGACAATAACTTAAATAACAATCTACAAATTATCGGATGGCTTAAATACAAGAAGTATGATAAACTGGCTGCTTTCACTCAGAAAATAAGCAATGAGAAATCATTTAAAGTATACAAGGAGGTCATAGAAGTTTTGGAGAAAGAAAATGCTGTTATTGAAGCAGAATTTAAACCTATTTTAGAAAACTGTATCACAACTTTAAGTAAAGCTGAAGAGAAGTCTGAAGTATCATTAGAAGAGACATTGAAAAATGCAATTGAAAATGCCATCAATAAGACACATAAGAATGATGTTTCACAGCAGAAACAGGTACTTGTGATTAATTACAAAGTTTTGAATTTGAATTCAACTGGTCTCATTATATTGTGAAATTGGATCTCTTTCTCTTGTGAAATTTAGTAAATTCTCATATAGTCAATAGCATGAAAGGAATTGTGTTATCCTTACTAATATTATAAATCGGAAAGTGAGTTTGTTTGTTTGTTCTGCTTTCACGCCGTAACTACTAAACCGATTGCTTTGATTTTTTGCAGACGTAAAGTTAGAAGTCCAGATTAAATAATAGGGTACTTTTTATCCCGGAAAAATTGATATTCCCAAGGGAAAAATTAAAGTATTGTTATAGATGGCGCTGTGTGTATTGGTATGTCACATAGGCTACTTTGTATCCTTTTGTGACGCGAGCGAAGCCGCGGGTAAAAGCTAGTAATAGTATAAATTATTATGTTTACACGGCACTGATACATAATGGAATGTGTGTGTGATATTTAGTCATATAAAATACCTCTACACTGTGGGTAATTTAAATAAATAATGTTGTTTCCTTTTTCATTTTTCTAGCTATTTGAATCATGGGCCAAAATAAGAGAACAAAAACTTCAAGAACAAGCTCAAAGGCTGGACCGGGTGCGCAGGATCCAACTCATACAGCAAAAGCAGAGTGAAATGGCAGAACAAGAACAGAAACTATGGTTCTTTGAAAATGAAGATAAAATTGATCTAGAAATAGAAGAAAAAGAAAAACTTGTTGACAAAACTGTAACAAAGAAAAAAGCAAGCAAAACTACTGATGAAAATTACATACCACCTGAGATT